GCCCAGCCAGCCAGTTAGCCAGCCGGCAGCAGTCCAGTTCAGTTTCAGCTGGGTATTTCTGCCCGCCTGCCATTCAATTAATTCATTCATCGAGCTTTGTTTGACAAAGAAATTAATTTGAATTTAATTGATAAAAAGTTGTCAAATAGGGGAGGGGCAGGGGGAGCGGGTAGGTGGAATAAATAAAATAATTTAAAAAAGCATGACAAGCAAGAAAGGGAAATTTGAAAAACAAAGCTAATTAAATTGAAAAAACACACACCACACAAACCTCCGGGAAAGGAAGTTAAAAGGAAAATTTCAATATTTCAGCCAAAGAATTATGAAAGTTTCGTAATAACTATCATAGGTTATAAAATCGTTATATATGAGAAAATATTGAACAATTATCCAATTCGATGAGATGTTTATTTTTTTGTTTAAACAGTTGTATTTATTTTTTTTTTATAATTATAACAAATACCCTCAATTGCCTTCTTATCATCCAATTTTTGAAAAGCGTGTAACATTCACCTGCATTTCATTTGAGGTTATCAAACTGGCCATAATTAATTGGATGATGTTCTCAAGTATTTTTGCAAATAATTATTCGTTGGAATTAATCGTCCATTGCGCATATTTTTCAAGTGAAGGAATAAAACAATTAGCCGGCTTTTTCTTAATGAGTTTATGGTTATTACGATACATAAAATGTTATTAAATAACGAGGCTTAAATGCCATTTGGCAATTCATAATCCTATTCATTTATTTTACCCTCAGCCATATGGCTACACAGGGTGAGATGAAAAAACTGCAACCAATTTCAGACTGCTGTCATTTCTAAGCCACTCGTCCGACAGCTGTTAAAATTATTCTAGTGACAGCTCATTATATTGTTTACAAGCGTACAAAAGCATTTTGGTGAGAATTTTCCAGAAAAAAAGTTAGTCGTGATGGAATTCAAGCGTGATAGTGTGATTTCTTTATATTTGGCTGGAAAACCAAAAGTGGCTATCGTTAGAGCATTCCAGCATTTAAATGTGAATAAATCTTGTATGTCTCGTACCATCGCTCGTTACCGTGATACTGGTTAGCGTAGCCCGACGCCAAGGAAGTGGACGGAAGAAAACAGCAACATCAGCAGAAATGGTTCGAAAAGTAAAAAAAATGACTTGATTGAAATCCGCTTCGCAGTGGCCGAAAAATGGCTCGTGAGCTGAACATATCGCAATATTCCATTCGGCAAATATTGAAAAATTAACTCGGGGTGAAGCCATTGAAATTCCAAAAAGTTCAAGAACTTACACCGCAGCTGAAAGAAAATAGACTTAAAAGATCTAAAGGGTTGCCACGCTTGGGCGAAAGTGGTGAACTGCCGAATTTGGTTTTCTCCGATGAGAAAACATTCGTTGTCCAGCAGTTTGTAAACAAACAAAATGATCGTGTTTACTTGTCAAAGAGGTCAGTTGAAAATGTGCACCTTCGGTTGGCCACCAGAACTCAAGCGCCGGCCATGGTGATGGTGTGGGCCGCCATAACAGCCGATTGTCGCTCTCCGCTCGTATTAATCAACCGTGGCATCAGAATAAATACAATATATTATCGCGAAATAGCTTTGGACACGCACGCACTTTGGCCGCAGACCTTGGACATTCCAACAGGACTAAGTACCATCGCACTCAGAACGCGCCACCCAAGAATTGTTACAACATGATGATCCTCGCTTCATTTCCAGCGCACAATGTCCACCAAAATCTCCGGATACCATTCCGTTGAACCATTGTGTCTAGAGTATTTTGGAAAGCAAGGTTTGCACTAAAAAATGCCAACGTGGCGATCACCTCAAGCAAGCGCTTCGCCGAGAATGGGCCAAAATACCGTAGAACAACATTCGGGCAGCGTGTGACGGTTTCATTGGCCATCGATAAAATTTTACTCAAATGTGTTATGTCTGCAGGACTTTTGGTATTGAAAATGGGCCACGTAGGTCCACGTCTTCGTATAGCCCCATATAACGGTACCATCCGATATTCGGTATTTTGATGATTTTAGCGACATTATTTACCGGAATTGTTCCAAATTTGGTATTTGAAGTTCTTAATGGATACTACATCCTAAGACAGAAAATTGTCTGTGCAGGTCCACGTCTTCGAATAGCCCCCATATCGGTATCGGTACTCCCGATATTCGGAATTTTGATGATTTTAGCGACATTATTTACCTGAATTGTTTTAAGTTTGGTATTTAATGTTCGTAACAGATACCAAGAGAACATAAAACAGAAAATGGGCCATGTAGGTCCACGTCTTTGTATAGCCCCCATATAACGATACCTCCTGATATTGGGTATTTTGATGATTTTAGCGACATTATTTACCGGATTTTTTTTTTCAAATTTCGCATTTGAAGTTCGTAATTGATACTACAGCCTATGCCAGAAAATTGTTTGTGCATGGTACCTCCCTATATTCGGTATTTTGATGGTTTTAGCTACATTATAAACAGATTTTTTTCAAGTTTCGCATTTGAATATTGTAATAACTTGTGACAAAATTTGCCTATGCAGGTCCACGTCGTCGTATAGACCCTAATAAATGGCTACAATCGGTATTTTTAAGATTTTAACGGGACTTTAAACAAATTTTATTTTTTTTGAAAATTGCCAAATTTGTACTAAATGTTGGAGGGTATTCAAAGTTCGGCCCGGCCGAACTTGCAGCTTTTTTACTTGTTAACTTTGATATTTTGTTCGTTGGATGACATATTAATGCCAAATTGTCCAGCGGCGACAGAGTTCGAGTGCCCAGAGTCGCATTTCTTTTTAATTTTATATGCAATGCGATGATGCCAAGCTGCTTATGATTTCTCAGCTTTATCCTCGATATACGGCTTTGAGAATTTTAAAGTTTTTTTATTTTTAACCATTAAATGCAGCAGCAGTCAGACCAATGAAACTCTTTTTAGCGATCACTGTCATCCAGAAAAAAAAAAACGCCCTTTGATTCACTGTCAATTTGCCAGAAGATAGTGGCCTCCACAACGAATTATTTAGCCTTTGAATATTTCTAAGTGTCATAATTTTATTTCCATTGAAGTTTGAATTGATTTCATGGCACAAACGAAAACGTTGTACTTCAATTTGCTACAATTCTCAAAGGCTTTGATACGTCTAGCGTTTAGCAAGCAATGCATTTTGCACTTTAGCGACAATAATTATCAGCTCAAACCATTGGAACCTTATTTAAGCGATTAGGTATCAGTAGAAAGATACCATTTGAAAAGCATAGAACACAATTGCTGATTATGTGTATCGCACCTTCAAATATAAATCACATAAAATTGACATAATTTCGTGAGTGACCGGCAAAATTTGTTGTCTATTTTATGAACCACTACATTGGCACGACCTTAAAAGTCAAGCCCTAAGACAATTATGAAGTTAAAATAAGCTGATGCTAATTGGCAATTGCGCTTAGACTGGCCATACCTTCAATTGCATTTACCTCGCATTTATTAATGAAGGTTAATATTTCCAAAAGCAGAAAAAAAAGTATCAGCCGAATGTCGCTCCTTTTTTTTTTCATTTCCCGGCGAAGCGCTTGTTTGAGGTGATCGATACTTTGGTATTTTTTAGTGCCAACCTTGCTTTCCAAAATACTCCAGACACAATAGTCAAACGGATTGGTATCCGGAGATTTTGGTGGCCACTGTGCGCTGGTGGCCATGAAGCGAGGAACCTCATTTTGTAAACATTCTTTGGTGGCGCGTGCTGAGAGCGATGGTGCTGAGTTCTGTTGAAATGTTCAAGGTCTGCGGCCAAAATTTTTGTGTGGCTAATACACCCTCCAGAATATTTTCGCGAAAATATTCGGCATTTATTCTGATGCCACGGCCGATTAATACGAGCGGAGAGCGACCATCGGCTGTTATGCCGGCCCACACCCTCACCATGTCCGGCGCTTCAGTTCTGGTGTCTGGTGGCCAACCGAAGGTGCACATTATCAGCTGACCTCTTTGGCAAGTGAACACGATAATTTTGTTTGTTTACAAACCGCTGGCCAACGAATGTTTTCTCATCGGAGGAAACCAAATTCGGCAGATCTCCACTTTTGGCCAAGCGAAGCAACTCTTTAGCTCTTTTGAGTCTATTTTCTGTTTCTTTCTGTTGCGGTGTAAGTTCTTGCACTTTTTGGAATTGCAGTGGCTTTACCCCGAGCTCATCTTTCAATATATGCCGAATGGAATATTGCGATATGTTCAGCTCACGAACCATTTTTCGGCCACTGCGACACGGATTTCGCACGAAACATTTCTGCTGATGTTGCTTTTTTTCCATCCAGTTCCTTGATGTCGGGCTGCCCTACCAGTATCACGGTAACAAGCGATGGTGCGAGACACAAAAGATTTATTTGCATTTGAATGCTGGGGTGCTCTAACGATAGCCACTTGCGGTTTTCCAGTCAAATATAAAGAAATCCCACTATTACGCTTGAATTCCATCACGAATAACATTTTTTTTGGAAAATTCTCACCAAAGTTCTTTTGTAAGCTTGTAAACAATATAATGAGCTGTCACTGCAATAATTTTAACAGCTGTCGGACGAGTGGCTTGGAAATGACAGCAGTCTTAAATGGGTTTCAGTTTTTTAATTTCACCCTGTTTATTCCAATTTTTAATTGTATATAAATTTAAGACTCAATTCAGGCACTGTTTAGTGCCCCTAATTGGCATTTTTGTCAACATTTCTCAGAATGGCGCCCAATCGAGTAATGCCTTTACCCAGATATAATCCAATATTGAATTCAATATAAATTTTTACTCAATTCAGGCTCTTTTAAGTGCCCAGTCGTTCTAAAGTTCTTTAGAAGTTCACGAGCCACCCAAAATGTATTTTTTTTTTAGGAGAATGGGTAAATTCTCTATTCTCTAAAGATCTCTAAGAAGTTTCAGGGAGATCTAAAAACCAATAGCAAAAATATTTTAAAACCCAATTTCTCATCAATTTTCACACCCAAAAAGTAACCCACAATCACAATGACGGAACACAGAGAAGAAAATGGTGAAGAGTTTGAGGCTTTGCGCAAAAGTCGAGTACCCCGTGTGGTGAGTGGCATGAATCGACCCTACCAGCCAAAGCCATTGGGAGAACAAACACGGGCCGTGAGACGTCAAGCTATTATGGTGATATTAGGTAATTTGGGTGTACTATCGACCGGTCTGGGTCTAGGCTTACCCACCATTACAAATGGGCCGATGAAAGATACCAGTGCCCCAGCATATTTAAATGATTCCGAATTTTCATGGTTTGGTAAGATTTGCAACTTTTCCTTTCTGAACTAGACTAACATTATTTCCCCTTCCCTTCTTCAGCTTCTATAAATTTATTTTTCGGTCCTGTGGGTGGCCTTCTATCCGGCTTGCTATTGGACAAATTGGGTCGCAAACGTACCATGTATGTGCTGAATGTTTTGGGTTTGATTTCATGGATTCTAATGGCCACGGCGAGTCACGACAATCAATATGCCATGTTTATGCAGCTGATGGTGGCCAGATGTATTCAAGGTTGGCAAAAACATATACAAACATATTTCGCAGAATCAAGACACTAATTTGGGTTATTTTCCATTTCAGGTATTGGTATGGGTCTATCAAGTGCCCCCGTCGGAGTCTACTCGGCTGAGATAAGTACGCCCAAAATAAGAGGTCGTTTAATTTTGGGTACCTCCATTTCGGTGGCTGGTGGTATAACTGTCATTTACATTTTGGGTTATTTCATACGCGACGATTGGCGTTTGATTTCCATGATCTGCTGTGCCTTCCAATTGATTGCCTTGTTGTGTGTCATACCCATGCCAGAATCACCCAATTGGTTGTTGACCAAATCCCGTTTGGCTGAGGCCAGGAAATCATTGAACTACTTCCGTGGCTTGGAGAAGAAACGTAAGTCTAAATAAAACTGCCATGGAATCCATTTTAACGGAGTTTTTTTTTCTTTACAGCTGTCATAACCCATCCCGAGGTATTGTCCGAATTCAATTTGCTGCAGAAGAACATTCAATTGGCCGAGGGTGAAAAGAAACCATCATTTTTGAAATCTTTGAAACTTCCCGAAGTCTATAAACCGATTTTGATCCTGATGGGCATGTTCACCTTCCAACAGATCACGGGTATTTTTGTTGTCATTGTCTATGCCGTACAAATTGCCATGGAAGCTGGTGTGACCATTGATCCCTTCATGTGTGCCATTATGATTGGTGTGGCCCGTGTGGTGACCACCTGTCCCATGGCCTATATTCTCGAGAAATGGGGTCGTCGTCGTTCGGGTCTGATATCCGCCTTGGGTATGGGTGTCTGCATGGCCGTATTGGCTTGCCACAAACATCTCACTTCTGTGCCATATTTACCGGTTGTGACCATTGTTGCTTTTATTGTCCTCAGCACTTTGGGTCTGTACACTCTGCCCTTCTTCATGATATCTGAAGTGTTCCCCCAAAAGGTGAGGGGACCAGCCTCGGGTCTTACGGTGGCCTATGGTACATTTATTTCATTTGTTGTCACCAAAACCTATCCCTCCATGAAGGCCGCCATTGGCAATGAGTACTGTTTTGTGACCTATGCCATTCTCTCGTTTGTGGGAGCCGTTTTCATTTATTCCTTTCTGCCGGAAACTCGTGGCCGTACCCTCTTGGAAATTGAGGAGGAATTCCGTACTGGCAAAAAGAAACCCGCCGAACCTGTGGAAATGGAGGAGATCTATGTGAAATAGAGGAACCAAGTACTGTAACCGTTGATCGGAGGATAGCCTCATGTACACGCCGCGTGCGAATTTGGGGATCATTTTTAAAAGACATACTCACGCTAATTTATGTAATTATAGTTTGTATGTTTTTCTTACTTTTACTTAATTAATGTTAAGAAAACTGTGATAAGACTGGTTTAGCTTCAGATGTTAACAAAATAATTCAAATGTTTTTAGACGAATTTATAACTTTTTTTTAAATGAATTGATATAACGATGTTCAAATGCATGTGGAAATAAAATTAAATAGAGAATAAATTAAGCCACAAGGAAGTATATTTTTAATAAGAATGGGAGATGACTGTCTTAATTCGGAATATGTTGGGGGAAGTCTTAGATAAATTAATATCATTTCAAGATTATCATCTTAGGAATTATATAGATCCTACAAATCATGTAACATCTTTAGAGCTATCGAGTATAGATGTCGAGTCCTTGCTCCTATTTTGGTGTCTATGTCAAGGCTAAGTTCAAAAATACGAAGCGTTTTTTCTTTGCGTTTTGTTGGCCATTTACAACAATACTTTCAGACGCTTCGATTTTTGCGCTTCTCTTCTAATTTCGTTTGACAAGCTAGGATATTTTAATTTCCAAATGGTTTCTCTTCTCAAAGCCAACTGTCCTAGAGGAAGGATTTCGATTTGTATGTTATTACTAGTCAAATTCATTTATATATTTAACCTTTGGACTCTCAAAGAGATCTTTTAATACAACTGGTGTGTGAAGTCAAATATATACTTCCGAGCCGAGAGTATTTCATTTCATACTTCTGTTCGAAGAGCCTAGATCCACTAATTAGTTCACGAGTGGATCTGGGGTTTGCCGATCACAAGTATTGCTGTAATACCTTCTGCTTGTTACGAGCTACCAACTCTGGAGCATTCTATTCGCTCGAATGTAATCGATGAAATTTCTCTCGGCATTCACGTTCCGGTAGAGATTGAGTTAAAGCATGCAGGGGCAAAAAAAGAGCTGAGAGTGTTTTCTAAGAACGTAAAGCTTTATAAGCAAAGGTCTTGCTCAGAGCGTAAAACTTGTCATGATCAGTGGGCATGCTAAAATCAGAGAAATTGATAAGGGAGTGAGAAAGCTAAGAGTAGAGAGTTACACTTTCGTTTTATATCGCGACATACTTTTCCATACTTAACTGATAACCGTGGGCCAGTACATTACCCTAAGAAGACAAATTATTGTGCGAGGTTACAAAAATTGGACATGCTAGTGTGTACTGAAGGCTTGCCATCGAATGCAGTTTTGTAATCGACATCCGATTTGGGGTTTTAGTCCCTGACACTCGTAATATGCACCCCACCGGAATTATATTTGGTACCATATATCAGATACAGGCCAGAAATTGTGGCAGGATCGGTTCAGATTTGGATATAACTTTCATACATATCTTCAACAGATTTCGGGTTAATTGTACACCAAATGTCCAATATCAGTCCAAATTACCTGACTTTTGGCACATCCGGCCGAATTCAGTCTAGTAGCAAGTACATCTAATTTGGTGAAAACCAGTTCAGATATAGCTATAGCTCCCATATATATGTTTCATTCGATTTGGGGTTTTAGGTCTTTCACATTGGTAATATTCATTCGTCAATTATGATATTTGGTACCAGATATCTTTTACACCTCGAAAATACCTTTGCCAAATTTTATGGTGATCGGCTCAGATTTGGACATAGTTCCCATATATATCCTTATTACGATTTCAAGTTTATTGTGCAAATTATGGCTAATATCAGACCAAATGGAGAGAATTTCGGACGTACGTTTCCATTTGGTTGTACGCGACTCCGATGTATATTTGTATATTCTCCACCATAGTATGGAGGGCCATTCCGTTTGTAACACCTCGAAATATACATTTTAGACCCACTACGTGAATATATTCTTGATCAGCATAAAATTCTATGCCGATTTTGCGATGTCCAGTCGTCTGTCTGTCCGTACGTCTGTGGAAATTACTCTAGCTTCCGAACGAAATGAAGTAGGTTGATAAAATATTACTCAAATTACATTGAATATTAATAATTACAATAATTATATTATGTCTGCTGGACTTTTGGTATTGAAAATGGGTCATGTAGGTCCACGTTTTGGTATAGCCCCCATATAATGGTACCTCCCTATTTTCAGTATTTTGGTAATTTAAGCGACATTATTCACCGGAAATGTTTCAAATCTGGTATTTGAAGTCCGTAATGGTTACTACAGACTATGACAAAAATTTTTGTATGCAGGTCCATGTCTTCGTATAGCCCCCATATAACGGTACCTCCCAATATTCGGTATTTTGATCATTTTAGCGCCATTATTCACCGGAGTAGTTTCAAATTACGTATTTAGAGTTCGTAATGGGAACTGCGGTCTGTGACAGAAAATTGTCTATGCAGGTCCAGGTCTTCGTATAGGCCTCATATATCAGTACCTCCCTATATTCGGTATTTTGACGATTTTAGGTACAATACTCTCAGAAATTGTTTGAGATGTCGTATTTGAAGTTCGTAATGGATGTTACAGCCTGTGACAGAAAATTGTCTGTGCAGGCCGACGTCTTCGTATAGCTCGCACATAACGGTGTCTCCCGATATTCGGCATTTTCATGATTTTAGCGACATTATTTACCGGAATTGTATCAAATTTCGTATTTGAAGTTCGTAATGGGTACTACAGCCTATGACAAACATTTTTGTATGCAGGTCCAAGTTCTCGTATAGCCCCCCACACAACGGTACCTCCCTTTACATTTATTTTAGCGACATTATTCGCTGGAATTGTTTCAAATTTCGTATTTGAAGTTCGTAATGGGTATTACAGCCTTAGTATAGTCCCCATGTAAAGGTTTTCACTTAAGTGATAGTTTTCGGAAAATTTTCAAAGCCCTTCCAAATGGTTGAGGGTATTAAAAAATCGCCCCAGCCGTACTTATGTGCTTTTTACCTGTTTTTACTTGTTTTTTTTTACAACAAACATATACGGTGCTATCAACACTTATGAACTGCACAGTGGCGCCCGATGGTATCGAATAATGATTAAAGCATTTCACTTTATGAATGAGAGTTCTCATGCCGATTTATGTATGGCATTATCAATGTGGATTTCTTATCTTGGAAAGAAATCAGAATAAATTCCTCAAATTCATAATATCTGGGCATACAAGAAGTCTGTTTTCAAATATCATCGGCATCGGTCGTTTCCGCACACTTCTTAGCAGTTTCGGTGTTATATTTATATGCTCCGAATTTGATATGCTCTTGAGGAATACTCTCGTTATATATAGCAACAATAAATACAGTTAGTTTTATTAAATTGTTGTTAAGCACACACCAGAACTAGCAGTCTTGTAAACAAATAAGCTACTGGTATTTAGCAAATATAATCTTATCTCTATGACGTCATGATTATCATGGCCGTTCAGGTGGTAGTGGAATTTGGCGTTGTATAGCTGTGATAATGGTTAGAAGTTTTTTTTTGTGATTTTTTTGAGAGAATTTTCCATCGATTACACCTGAATTCTAAACACAAATTGAATCCCCCGGACAAATTAGAAAGTTCATCAACCTCAGAGACACATTAACCAAGTTCAAAGAGCCGCATCCCTACTAATAACCGGTGCCTTCAGGAGCACGCCTCAAGCAGCACTGGACACCCTACTGTGCTTAAGTAAGCTGAGTGTACATGTAGAGGAACTGGCATTCAGGAGTGCTCTTTGACTCAGAAAACTAAACGAATGGCGCAGTCAACCCTTTGGACATTCTGCGATTCTAAAACGTGTAAGGAATGTGGGAGTGGTAGCCAATACAAGTGACTATATTTCACCATGGTTGAGCTTCGTCACGAGGAATACTGAGGTCAGCGTCCCGGTGACTTAAATGCCTTAAATTCCTTTACTATTAAGTCTAGGCTTGTTTTGAACTGCAGGAAAGCCTTGGAAAACACTGGGTTGTCCATCAAGCTCTGTTGGGTTCCTGGTCATTATAACATCCCAGGTAACGAGACTGCAGACGAATTGACCAGGCTTGGATTCGAATCAACTACAATTGAAGTATATAACTCGGTGGAACCACCACTGTGCCACTTCATACAGGTCATTCGCAGACATTACTCTGAGAGAATGCAACAAAAATGGCTGGACGAAATGGGTTGCACCATCTCCAAAAGAATTTGGCCCACGCTCTCAGAGAAGAGAACAAAGTCGCTACTGTCATTGTCGAAACTTGATCTAAAACTTTTGGTGGGTATCATCACAGGTCACTGTGAGGTGAGGGCAATGACCTCGAAATGGGACAGCGACGACATTGACTACTGTAGGATCTGTCAAGATGAAGAAGAAATCGGTACAGTCGAACACTGCCCAGCACTCATTAATGTGAGACACATGCTGGTGGGAGAACTAGTGTCACATGATATGTCTTCTCTTTTTAACAATGACCCTATAGTAATCCTTCATTTAGCCAGAAGATTCAAGTGGCTAAAGACGACACGGCAAATTCCTCGGCCGTAGATCACATTCTTTAACTCTATCTCCTATCTTCACCCCTTTCTATCAACCACTCCTTCCTTTTTTCTTACTATTCTTCTAGGATGAACACAATGGACCTATAGGTCTCCGAGTGGAGCGGTTGCCATATGGTAACTGTGCATCCTTTAATTTAACCTAACCTAACATCAAATAAAGTATTTATTACTAGATCATGGCAGACGTAACTCAATCCAACTACTGCATAAAAATTGTTTCAACCCAGTTTATGTAGAATATCGTAAATATTTATTATTTGTCTGCCTAATTTGTAGACATTACCAAATTTACTAGGTCTAGACAGTGGAGCGTAAATTCCAAATTCCTCCACGCAAAACATCTAAACTCTTAACGTCACCAGAAATTAGCAACCCTATCAAATTACAATTTTTAGTTGCTTCATTACTTGATTAGCTGTACTTTTCCCCCACTTCCACCCGCCAACCAGCTGCGTGACTTCCAAATTAGGCTTTCATAAACATAAACTTCCTTTTTTAAATATCGCTCAGGTACTATGTTACAGCTGGTCGATTTAAAACCCCCCAACTTCCTTCCTCAAACCTGAAGGTCATGACATTTAGCGTTGGACGACAACTACATATTATCTTCATCATTTGTTTTCATGTTTAACAGGAGGCCCACCGACGGACCATTTGATGTGCCAATATTTTTCCGTGAGCACACACACATACATGTCTTGTTCCTCCGTTCGCCAGCAGAAAAAAAAAACATTC